AGGGGTGGAGGGCATATAACAGAAACGGAAACGAAATGTGAAACGGAAAAACCGGAGGATATTACGATCCCGCCCCCTCCCCCATTTCACCTACCACTTTCTTCGATTTTACCAACTTTCTACCACTTTTTCTAGGAGTTCCCGGACATTTCCCCCCCTTTCTTCCAAAAATTCTGTTGTCGAGCGGGTTGGAGGGAGAAATACGACCGTCTTCCCCCGCCCAAACACGACCCCCTGTTGGGGAATCCACAACAACCATGTGCCCCGACCAAGCGACTCAGTGAATACGTCTGACATTCTATGTAGAACATCATTCGAATATCCCACCAAACATCAATCGATTCGCCCACCTTTTCCTCCACCCCACCCCCTACTAGAATGTGTTCAAATAAATTTGAGGTATAATAGGTATAATAGGCAGGCGTAGAGTCCTACCAACATTTTTAGCACGGTAATGCAGTGAACGGTATGTAGTGCAGCTTGAAATAATGGCCTAAACTTCTTTGATTGCAATAACCCCTCAGGAAGAGCCGCTACTATTATAGCTTTACTTCTCCAAGTGATGGGCCCAAAGGAAGGACAGCAATACTTGCTCGTTTCTGTGTGAGGGCCGATGCCAAACGAGGTTCAGGGTACTTTTCTGAACTGCCTCCATTGATTCGGGAAGAATGCTGCCATTATTAGAACTAGAAGGATTACAACAGCTAAGAAAACACCGAGCTATATTGTACTGTAATTCGGCGCTGTTTGGCTTGAGAGGGGCATTATCACCATCGATAGTTTTTTGCTAGTTGCTGTGAACTACACGTCACATCTTGATGAGACCTGCGTAGACTCCGTTCAAGGTCAGGCTAACTCCAGCTATTACACAGTAACTTGCTGACAGGACTTTACAGGTCTCCACAGATGACATCGGCAGTGGTTGATGGGAAACCAGCAAAATGCCCCCACAGGGCTAAATTGCAATCTGAAATTCAGTGGTTCCTCCTTTTTTTCCACTCCGCCTCCAGACTCCGCCTCCAATGCCCGGCTTTCAGTGAAAAACGAGATTGCAGGACGAAAAAGCATGAAAATCGTCACTTGTACGATCGTAGAGTTCTTATCGGTGAATCAGCTGTGCGTATGAGGGCGTAGTTGGGAGATAGAGTTAATTGGGCACGTACAAACTGGGATCAAAATGGGGTTCTATCTAGGGCAGGTGGCATGTTTTTTGTGCTTTTTTCTTCACTGTCGAGTTACTCAACCTTGTCGTCTATATGGAACCCCCTAATCCACTATCTGAGATGGCGAATAATCGCGGGTTCTGCCTTTAATTGCAATAAATTTCTACGAAATGGTAGACTACCGCATAATGTTGTGAAGCTACATATTGCACCCTGTCGCAAATTTCCAGAGAACATGGGAGATCGCACTAACTAAACTCACATATTGAAGATGATGATGTCAGGCACCCAAATGGTCGAAATCGGTAGCCATGTTTTTGTGATTCCGCCAAACAGCGCAGGATCCCACGACAACGACGGATCCGTCCATTTCTGCAATGGTCACATTGAAAGGCTTCTCTCTTACTGATTACACAAGGCCCTGAAGAATCCTTCTTGACATAGCCCTCCAGAAAATAAAGGATTATCAACGTACTATCAACTCAAAGTGCAAAAAGGACTTATCGAAACCTGCAGGCAACTACCAGAAGTCAAAAAAATCGTTATAAATTTCACTTAGTTTTTATACTACTTTATTAATGAATGACCAATGATTCAACCGCGAACCTCGTCCACATAAACGAGCACGGTCATCGTCTGCTTCAGCTCGTCTATGCCTAGAATGTGGACCAGTTCCATTTCGTAGTGCACATCCAACAAGCCGTCTGGTGGCGCATTGACGTTATGCCGAGAGAAGAGATACTCGGTGAGCTTCTTCGAGGAACCTGGGAAAAATGATGCATCTGAAAATCTGTCTTTCGAACAATAGATAGCTCTCCACCCCGTCAAACCAACTGACGGCATGACAAGATCCAGAATAATATGTAGGGAGGAGGGAGGAAACTGGCTGAAATCGACCTGTTTCCTCAGGTTCTCTCTTCCGGTGTGAAACCGCCAGCTTTTCATAACTGAATGATCACCCGTAAAAACGTGTCTGCAAAGTAAAGAGGTAGTAGAAGACCGTCAACAAGGGGCAATGGTCCTGAGGAGAATTTCCGGAATTACGACCCCTCTTAAAAATCCTCTGGTACGACTACATCTCCTCATCCCCTATTTTAAGTACCATCGTCCTACATCCCCCAACTTCCTACCACTTTTCCTTTTTTTTCTGAAAGTTCTCCGGTTTTTGTCAAAAAACTGCTCTCAAGGGGGGGGGGAGGGACTGGAGGGGGAACAGGGTATACAGCGCTTGTAAAACGGGAAAAACCATGAAAAGTCAACAAACAAAAGCATTTTTTTGCGAAGATGAGTGCGACCCATGTGCTCCCTCTAGCGACCGAATAGGACTCAACGAGAGTAACCCCGAGGGATCAGGACCTGTGTCGGCCTTCGCTCTATCCCAAACTTCATTCTTGATACCCCCTTTTTTACATGTTTGTTCAGAAAAATCTATATTATATTTGTATTCTCTCAGTAATAGAGCGCCGAGCTAGGCTAGGCCGCAGCTCGCTTTCGAAAAAAGCATTTTTCACTTTCGCTACTTCACATTGAATTGATCATTCCTGTACAGGACTTGACAGGTATTCTTGACAATAGTTGACAAGAACCCCCTACAAAATGGGGAACCCCTTTCCTCTCAAGCCGACAAGCCGAACTGCGCCCGATATAGAGTCGAAAGTTTTCCCCCAATTCAAGGTGAACTTCATTGATTCCGAAAAGAGTGGGAAAGTCAGTGATGGAATGCTTAGACCTCTTAGCTGTAACTTTGAATCCAATAAAACCACATCTCTATTTTATCTACCATTAGGCCCTTGTGCTACGGCAGTTGCCCATCGTCGGTGGTTTTTGGGTTGATCACAGCGGCGCAAAGCTAACTAATTCAATTCGTGCAATCGAGAAATTGCTATTTGTCCGCTCACTATGACCACTCTTATCGGCGAAAAATTGGGAAGAATGGCTCAAAGTTTAGTTTGACCACTGCAAGACGACGTACATGAAGCACCGTTCGTTCAGGGTACATCATCGGAATTGGACATGGGAGAAATGACGGTGTCGGACAACCTCTCCCATACCTTACCCTAACCATAAGACACACATGAAAGGGAAAAGGGAAAAAATTAAAGGGAAAATCAAGAACCACAAAAACTTCTGTCGCGGCTCGGATAGGATTCTGCCAAGATCAGGTACGGACCCCTCTTCCTGTGACGGGGTTCACCCTTGCGCGATGTCTGTACCTTCCTTTGGTGTATCGCGGCAGCGTTTTAGCGCTTGGTAATTTTGTTGACCAATGCCATCATTGCTTAGGAAGGTTGAGATCAAAGGATTACATTTCGCGGCGGCTATGGATCCAATAGCTAATCGTATTCGAAATCCGCACACGCGGAATCTTGCTCAAGTAAGATTTTTTGTTTAGCACCTATTGTTAGCGTCATTTGCTAAATTGATAATAGATAGGTTGATTAAGTAATTTGCCGGATTACTCGGAATATCTCTTTCACTTTCTGCTGGGCAGAACACCTCGGAATACTCTGTTGAGGAAGTTTTCAGCAACTTCCCTGGAGCCTCGCGCAACAGTCAGTACAAGCGAAATAAGGTGGGCCAGGACGCGCAGTAATCACCCAACTAGGACTTACCTTTAAAAAGAATGGATCACGACATGATGGCGTAACCCCAATTTTTGTCCTTACGCTGACGGAAATACGAATGTCCGACATCAGCTTTAGCGACGGGAAACCGTACAGAGCGGCGTTTGATAATTTGCAAGTTCGCGTCGCAGGAGCATCAATAGCCCAGAACCCTGGAGCACGTCAAGGGCACTCACCCCGAGGCACACCTCGGCAACAGATTCTCTAAAAACCAGAGTGGCATTACGGACGCCAGTGAACTACTAGTGAAGAAGACATGCTACTAAAAACCGCCCGCTATTGAGGCCCCCTTCATTGGCACTTGATCATGATCATCGACGGAGTCCTGGCATGCTTAAGGCAGTTGCACGAATAATCGGCTATAAACAGATGTAGGTTTTATACGACTGGCTTAGCAGAATTCCGTGACCTCAGACAGGCGCTCCGTGGCGCCTTTTCCAAGGAGGGTACCCCTATAACCCTATCGAGCAACAACATTCTGTCCCAAACGCCTTCCTCGCCCGCCCGCCCACAAACGGACGACCGTTCCTGACGCTCGTATTCATTCATTTGCTGAGCAAATTATGAAGCAAAGGGATTGGTATGAAGCGGCCGTGATGCTGCATGCAGGACCTCCTTTATCCTGAATGACCAGAGAAGGCGTGGCATTTGAACATGGCACGGAGCTGGTTACTCGTAGAATATTCCAGTTTGGGACAACTGTCATCTTGTTCTGTGTGGGACAGTGACACGACAACAATTGTGTCAAGGTGAAAATATCTCACCAGAAACATAGAATATCTTAAAGTTAAAGGCACAGTTCGCGACCGCAAATTGCGGGAAACGGAACTCAAATAGGCACAAAAGTGCTAAGTATCTGATTAGCGGAGAAAAGCAGCAGAAAAAGCAGTCCGAAATGTTATAGAGAAAGATAACATAGTGGCTACTAGCTAGTAGCTAGCAGCCGGTGAGGGTCGGCATGGGCCTAAGGGGTGTCCATGGGCCTAATTAGTCAGCTTCTAGCGGAGTTCTTGCCGTTTTTCACATTTTGAAAGTAGCGCAGCCTCAAAATCGCCTTCCGGATCGTCCGACACATTTGAGAGGTCATAGCCTTATTTTATTCGCGGAATGTGCCTTTAATTGAACATGCACCACGCCTACCCGATCTCAGGGATTTCGAGTATATATGGGTACACATATGCAGCCGTATCTTCGGTAGCGGTGTTTGGCAAGATGCGTACGGGAAACTCGTCCGAAATCGATTTACAAGTCACTGAGAACGGAGGCTCTTCTCTTCGCCGGATTTTGACCGTTTCACTCCGTTCTTTCGCTCACTTTCTCCACTAATAAGCGCCCTATACTAGCATTTTAGGCCGAGTGGGAAACCATCGTGCCAACTGCCTTTAGGATCAGCAGTGATATGCAGAAGGGGAAGATACACTGCAAAGCACGGCGAGAGACCAAGAGAGTACACCGGCAATATTAGGATGAACACGGGCAACGTAGGCCGGCATGGGCCTCCTTGGGTCTTGAACCTGAGCTTTCTGTGCTTGCCTGCCAAATTTCAAGTTTTGAGCTGCAGGCAACTCTGTACGCGTAATGGATCGCATTGCAAGAGGTTCAAGCCTTAGTTTGTCGCGGACCGTGCCTTTAATCATGCCTGCTGCGGACAACCGAGGAGCCTCTTCACTCTTTTTCTTCCTTAGTTCTTCTCCTTCCTTTCTTCGTTCCTCCCTCTTCCTTATTTTCTCCCTTCGAAGGCTTGGACAGAAGATGAGATGAGGGAATATCTGTGGACCTTTACGCGAGTTGACAGGAGCTCTGTAGTCCTTTTTCCCCCAAACGAATCCTGTTCTAGTTGACACCTATAGAGGCTAGAAGACTTGCTTGGCCTAGGCGAGAGCCGATCTAGCGTTTGACTCCTGTATCGGGTGCGTGGTAGGCATGCCACTTGCCACTACACCACCGCTACCTCGAAATATCGCAAACCACTAAATGTCAGGTAAACTTTCTCGCTTTATCTCCGTCTGCAGGGGTTCTTAGGGGACTTACCAAGAATTTCAGACAAAAGATTAGAGTCGGCAATAGGAGAAAATGTCATTTTGTAATCAGAACCCTCATTTACCTCTAAAATGTGACTTCAATACGACTAGAGTGAGGAAAATAATGACGGCAAATAGGATTAGCACAAAAAAATTGATGTGACATTTGTGATCAAAGCACTTTTTGACATTTATATGTTGTGATAATGGAATTATGCCATTTGGCGTTTTTACAGTAATCCAGTTCCATTCAGTGGGTTCAGAAAAAGATTAACCTTTGTTAGAGAAAACGTCACACTAGAGAACATCCTGTATTTCGTATTTATGTAATCATTGCCTAATCATAAATAATTGGAAAGGGCAAAGGTGGATGTAAGTCACATCTCTGTGAACATCTATATGAAACCTCTACAGAGAGGTTGAGGAAAGCCTACAATAGCAAATTCTGCAACAAGTTGCGCGTCGCACTTTCTTATGTGATTCCTGTTAAATGACACGTCTTATCTTAGTGAGACCTGTAGAATCTTGTCGAGTGCGAGCGAAGCTCCTGCTGCTGCAGAGCTTCACAGGAATCTACATGTCTGCAAAGGA